TCCTCTCTGTTTTTACTTGATGAATTTACTTAAAAATTTGTTAATCTTTTTTAACTGTTTAAAGAAACAGCTTTTGGTGTCATTGACTTTCTTGGTGTTTTTTTTTTTTTTTAGTCTTTATGTCATTTATTTCTGATTTGATCTTTATTATTTTCTTCCTTCTGCCTACCTTTACCTTTTTTTTTGTTTCTTAGTTCCTTTAGGTATAAGTTTAGATTGTTTATTTGAAAAAATTTTTTTTTTGTTTCTTGAAATAGACCTGTATTGCTGTGAATTTCCCTCTTAGGACTGCCTTTACTTTTAGATTGTTGTGTGATTGTTTTCTTTTATTTTATTTAAACTTATCTTTATTGATGAATGTATTACAAATGGTCCTCATTTTTCCCCCATTGAACCCCTCCTCCCTTCTCCCGCCGCCCTCCTGCCTTTCCCTATACTGTTGTCTGTGTCCATTGGTTATGCATCTATGCATATAAGTTCTTTGGTTTATTTCTTCCCACTCCCCAACCCCTCTTTCCTTGGGGTTTGTCAGTCTAGCAACCACTTTGTACTTCTTAATCCCTTCACTTCTTTCACCCATTCCCCCAACCATCCTCCCATCTGGCAACCAACAAAATGTTCTCTGTATGTATGAGAATGTTTCTGTTCTGCCTGTTCATTTTGTTTGTAGATTCCATTGCCGATAGATATGTACTCATTGCTATTTTGTCTGTTCATATTTTTTACCTTTTTCTTCAAAAAGACCCTTCAACATTTTATATAATAACATTTTGGTGGTGATGAACTCCTTTAGCTTTTCCTTGTCTGGGAAACTCTTTATATGGCCGTCAATTCTATATGACAGCTTTGCAGGATAGAGTAATCTTGGTTGGACGTTCTTGCTTTTCATCACTCTGAATATTTCTTGCCATTCCCTTCGGGCCTGCAAAGTTTCTTTTGAGAAATCAACTGACAGTCTTATGGGAACTCCCTTGTAGGTAACTAACTGCTTTTCTTTTGCTGCTTTTAAGATTTTCGCTTTGTCTTGAACCTTTTGCATTTTGATGATGATGTGTCTTGGTGTGGGTCTCTTGGGGTTCATCTTGTTTGGGACTCTCTGTGCTTCCTGAACATGTATGTCTGTTTCCTTCACCAAGTTAGGAAAGTTTTCTGCCATTATTGTTTCAAGTAGGTTTTCGATGTCTTCTTCTCTCTCTTCTCCTTCTGGCACCCCCAAGATGCGAATGTTGGCTCCCTTGAAGTTGTCCCAGAGGCTCCTTACACTATCCTCATTTTTTTGGATTCTTTTTTCTTTTTGCTGTTCTAATTGGGTGTTTTTTTGCTTCCTTGTATTCCAAGTCCATGGTTTGCTTCTTGGCTTTACCTACTCTACTATTGAATCTGTGTAAATTATTCTTTATTTCAGTTAGTGCCTCCTTCATTTCTGACTGGTCCTTTTTAATGCTCTTGAGGCCCTCACTTAGTTCATTGAGCATCCTTATAAGCTGTATTTTGAACTCAGCATCTGTTAGGTTGCTTATCTCCATTTCGCTTAGTTCTTTTTCTGGGGTATTGTTCTGTTCTTTCATTTGGGACCTGTTTCTTTGTCTCCTCATTTTGGCTGCCTCTCTGTGTTTGTTTCTGTGTATTACTTAATGAGAGATATGGGGCTAGCTGAGACCAGATGCTGGTTGTTTGAAAGAATTAGGAAACCCTGAAGCAGGATCCAAGACAGATCAATCGTATGGTTAAGCAATTGGCAATAGCTTGGGTGGGCCTGAAAGTTGGGTGGGGTGGTGCCTTAGGGAATCACCAGGGTGGGTCAACCAGTGTGAGCCAGGTTGCTGGAGTCCCAGATATGGTGGTGTCTGCCGCCCCAGGGAAGGGCTCACCAAAGGAACAAAGGCTTCTGACAGCAGTCTGTCCAGGAGACAGCCCCCTCTCCAGCCCTCGCTCCAGTGCCAAACAGCTCAGTTCTTCCCTGTATGTCTCTGGCACCCCTCGAGCTGCCTCCCCTTCAAACTTAGTGGGAGCAAGTCCGATAAGTCTGTGCGCGGGCCCTTTAAGAGGAGCTGCCTGGGGCTCCAGCCACCTCAGCCTCTACGAGCCTCAGTTCCCACTGGTTTTTCCAGCCAGAAGTTATGGGGATTCTCTTCCTGGCACTGCAACCCTGAGCGGGGAGCCTGGTGTGGGAAGGGGAACCCTCAGTCCTCAGGGAGGATGTTCCCAGCCGAGGTGTCCTCCTGATTTTTATCTGCCACTTGTGGGTGTGGATTCAGCCCGTCCACCTCTGCCCCTCCTACCAGTCTCAATGTGGCTGCTGCTTTAATTCCGTAGTTGTAGGACTTCCATTCAGCTTGATTTCAGGCGGTTTTGAATGATGGTTGTTCTGTAGTTTAGTTGTGACTTTTATGTGGTTGTGGGAGGATGTGATACTGCTTTTACCTATGCCGCCAGCTTCACCGGAAGTTTTTATCTTTTTCTTCAAGAAGACCCTTGAACATTTCATATAGTAATGGTTTGGTGGTGATGAACTCCTTTAGCTTTTTCTCGTCTGGGAAACTATATGGCCATCGATTCTAAGTGACAACTTTGCAGGATAGAGTAATCTTGGTTGTAGGTTCTTGGTTTTCATCACTCAATATTTCTTGCCACTCCCTCTGGCCTGCAAAGTTATTTTTGAGAAATCAGCGGACAGCCTCATGGGAACTCCCTTGTAGGTAACTAACTGCTTTTCTTTTGCTGCTTTTAAGATTTTCGCTTTGTCTTGAACCTTTTGCATTTTGATGATGATGTGTCTTGGTGTGGGCCTCTTGGGGTTCATCTTGTTTGGGACTCTCTGTGCTTCCTGGACATGTATGTCTGTTTCCTTCACCAAGTTAGGGAAGTTTTCTGCCATTATTATTTCAAGTAGGTTTTCGATTTCTTGTTCTCTCTCTTCTCCTTCTGGCACCCCCAAGATGCGAATGTTGGCTCGCTTGAAGTTGTCCCAGAGGCTCCTTACACTATCCTCATTTTTTTTTTTTTTTTTCTGATTGTTTTTCTTTTTGCTGTTTTGATTGAGTGTTTTTTGCTTCCTTTATTCCAAATCTTGGCTTTACCTACTCTACTATTGAATCTGTGTAAATTATTCTTCATTTCAGTTAGTGCCTTCATTTCTGACTGTGCATCCTTCATTTCTGACTCCTTTTTTTTTTTTCTGCTCTTGAGGCCCTCAGTAAGTTCTCTGAGGTTCTCACTAAGTTCATTGTGCATGTTTATAAGCAATATTTTGAACTCAGGATCTGTTAGGTTGCTTATCTTCATTACGTTTAGTTCTTTTTCTGGAGTTTTGTTCTGTTCTTTCATTTGGGACCTGTTTCTTTGTCTCCTCATTTTGGCCTCCTCCCTGGGCAAAATTTACTTTTATTCTGTATTCATGGTATCCTTTTAAGAAGAGGAGGGAAACACACCAAGAATAATAGTCACCTTCTAGGAATACTACAAGCCAAGCTCTACCCACCTCCACCTTTAATGTGGGGTATGCATTCCGCCGTAGGCACAGTGGAGAAGACTAGTTCCTGAATCCAGGCTTGCATTGTGACAACTCAGGATCTAGCCTGATAATTCCAATAATGCAGAAGGCCAGCAGAGAGACACAGCATTACCACACAAAGCTTCTGCTTCACTAACTGTGTTCTTTTGTCTCACTTTATGGTTTAACAGATGTAGCTCATACACTAAAGGTGTATGTGCACAAACTCTAAAGTACGATATGTAGAGTGTTCAGTGTATGTTTGAAAGCTAGCTAACGTCTGAACTATCTAGAACACTGTTTTTGTACATCCCTCTCCCAAACCATACCCAACAATCTATACTCCCTTCTTTGCAGTTACTTCACACCAACCATAAAATATGAGGAGAGTCCTTCTGGCTTGGTGCCATAAAGTTAACCATTTGGAGTCCCTTTGCCTTAGGCTACTTCAAAACCCTATTTCTGAAATTTATATACTCTTTTCTGCCCTATTTTTCTTCCAACCTCATAGGCTGTGTCAACCCTTCTCCTCTCCAGCAGGTTAATAATCTTAAACAGACACCCCTTGGCTAGCTCAGGGCTAATCTGAAGTTTTGTTTTTTTTCTTTATTGATTTTGCAAGAGAGATGAAGGGAGAAGGAGATATAGCAACATCGATGACAGAGAACATCGATTACCCGCCTCCTGCACACCCCCCACTGGGGATCAGGCCCACAACCCTGGCATGTGTCCTTACTAGGAATCGAACCAGTGACCACTTGGTGCATGGGTTGATGTTCAAGCAGTGGGCCACAAATTATTTGTTGTTGTATTTGTAAATGTGTAAGTAGGTGTCATGGGTATCAAGAGTATTAGGAATATTGATTAAATTGTGTGAGTGGTTTTAAGCACATCTGCTTTTGAGTTTTGAGAATGATCATTTTTAGCCAGTCAGGTTATCTATCTAGATAAGACAGGGAAATTAATAACACATTTTTTTTCCAGAAGAGTAGTTATTCCTCATAAAATTTGAAGATGATATTTTTTTATTTCCCAGTAAAACATAAACATTAATTTTTCTTTAGCTTTATCTACCTTCAGAAATTAATGGTCAATTTACATAAAAGCTGTTAATTTTGAAAACTTAAAATAAGTTTTATTTAATACCAGTTGTTACACACATTTTGAAAATTTTTTTTATTAATTTGTTTTTGTTACAGATGTTTCTCCTTTCCCCCCCATTGACACCCTCCTTCCCATCCCCCCCCATCCCCAGCTTTGTTGTCTATGTCTATTGGTCATGCATACATGCATGTAAGTCCTGTGGTTTATCTCTTTCCCTCCAAAACCCCCTCCTCAGAGGCTTATCAGTCTATACCCCACCTCTGTGTCTCTGGGTCAATTTTGTTCATCAGTTTGTTTAGTTCATTATATTCCACAAATAAGTGAGATCATGTAATATTTATCTTTCTCTGCTTGGCTTGTTTTGATTAGCTTAATACTCTCCAGATCCTTCCATGCCATCTCAAAAAATATGGAATGCTTCACGAATTTGCATGTATCCTTGCACAGGGGCCATACTAATGTTCTCTGTATTGTTCCAATTTTAATATATGTGTACCGAAGTGAGCACTTCAGCATTATTTTATTTATTTTTAATTAATTAATTAATTTTTTTATTGATTTAGTTACAGATGTTTCTCCTTTTCCCCCCACTTATTACTAATATTTTTATTTAATATATTTATTTTTGTTACAGATGTTTCTCCTTTCCCCCCACTAATACACCCCTCCTCCACCCTCCCAGCCCTGACCCCAGCTTTGTTGTCCATATCCATGTTCATGCATACATGCATATAAGTTCTCTGGTTTATCTCCCCCTCCCTTCTCTTCTGGGGATTATCAGTCTTTACCCCACTTCCATGTCTCTGGGACTACCCCGTTCCTCAGACTGTTATGTTTATTATATTCCACAAATAAGTGAGATCATGTGATATTTGTCTTTCTATGCTTGGCTTAGTTAGCTTAGGATAATACTCTCCAGGTCCCTCCATGTTGTCTCAAAGGACAGATCTTTCTTTGTTACAGCTGCATAGTACTCCATTGTGTATATGTACCACAGCTTTTTTATCCATTTGTCTACTGATGGACATTTGGGCTGTTTCCAGATCTTAGCTATTGTAAATAGTGCTGCTATGAACATGGGGGTACATATACTTTTTCTGATTGGTGTTTCAGGCTTCTTAGAGTATATTCCTTGAAGGGGGATCACTGGGTCAAATGGAAGTTCAATTTTTAATTTTTTGAGGTAACACCATATTGTTTTCCACAGTGGCTGCACCAGTCTGCATTCCCACCAGCCGTGTACTAGAGTCCCCTTTTCTCCACACCCTTGCCAACACTTGTTGTTTGATGATTTGTTGATGGCGGTCATTCTGACAGGTGTGAGGTGATACCTCATTGTTTCAATTTGCATCTCTCTGATGATTAGTGATGTTGAGTATTTCTTCATATGTCTCTTAGCTATTTGTATGTCCTGTTTGGAGAGGTGTTTATTTAGTTCTTCTGCCCATTTTTTAATTGGGTTCTTTGTCTTTCTTTTGTTGAGCTGTATGAGCACTCTCTATATATTAGAAATTAACTCCTCATCTGATGTATCATTGGCAATTATGCTCTCCCATAGAATGGGTTGCCTTTCCATTTTTATGGTTGTTTCTTTTGTTGTGCAGAAGCTTTTTAGTTTGATGTAGTCCCATGTGTTCATTTTCTTCTTTGTTTCTATTGCCTTAGGTGATGTGTCAGTGAAAATTCTGCTGCATATGATGTCTGAAATTTTGTTGCCTATATTTTCTTCTAGGACTTTTATGGATTCATGAGTCACATTTAAGTCTTTTATCCATTTTGAGTTTAGTTTTGTGTATGGTGTAAGTTGATGATCTAGTTTTATTATTTTGCATGTAGCTGTCCAATTTGCCCAACACCATTTATTAAAGAGGCTGTTTTTACTTCACTGTATGCTCTTGCCCCCTTTGTCAAATATTAATTGAGCATATTGTTTTGGCTCCATTTCTGGGTTCTCTATTCTGTTCCATTGATCTATCTGCCTGTTCTTGTGCCAGTAGCAGACTGTCTTGATTACAGTGGCTTCGTAGTATAACTTACAATCTGGAAATATGATCCCTCCAACTCTGTTCTTTTTCAAGATTTCTGTGGCTATTCGAGGTCTTTTTTGTGCCATATGAACTTTTGAAGTATTTGTTCTACTTCTGTGAATTATGTCATTGGTATTTGATGGGGATTGCATTGGATCTATAGATTGCTTTGGTTAGTATCGACATTTTATTGATGTTAATTCTTCCAATCCATGAACAAGGTATGTGCTTCTAATTCTTTTTTTTTTTTTTTATGCATATAAGTTCTTTGGTTTATTTTTTCCCACCCTACCCCCCCAAACCCCTTTCCGTTTGAGGTTTGTCAGTCTATCAATGAATTTGTGCTTCTTAATCCCTTCACCTTTATCACCCATTCCCCCAACCCCCCTCCCAACTGGCAACCAACAAAGTGTTCTCTGTATTGATGAGAATGTTTCTGTTCTACCTGTTCATTTTGTTTGTAGATTCCATTGTTGATAGATATGTATACATTGCCATTTTGTTTGTTCATACATTTATCTTTTTCTTCAAAAAACCCTTCATCATTTCATATAATAATGGTTTGGTAGTGATGAACTCCTTTAACTTTTTCTTGTCTGGAAAGGTTTTATATGTCCATCGATTCTAAATGACAGCTTTGCAGGATAGAGTAATCTTGGTAGTAGGTTCTTGGTTTTCATCACTCTGAATATTTCTTGCCACTTCCTTCTGGCCTGCAAATTTTCTTTTGAGTAATCAGCTGACAGCCTAATGGGAACTCCCTTGTAGGTAACTAGCTGCCTTTCTCTTGCTGCTTTTAAGATTCTCTCTTTGTCTTGAACCTTTTGCATTTTGATGATGATGTGTCTTGGTGTGGGCCTCTTGCGGTTCATCTTGTTTGGGATTCTCTGTGCTTCCTGGACATGTATGTCTGTTTCCTTCATCAAGTTAGGAAAGTTTTCTGCCATTATTGTTTCAAACAGGTTTTCGATTTCTTGTTCTCTCTCTTCTCCTTCTGGCACCCCCAAGATGCGAATGTTGGCTCACTTGAACTTGTCCCAGAGGCTCCTTACAGTATCCTCAGTTTTTTGGATTCTTTTTTCTTTTTGCTGTTCTGATTGGGCATTTTTTGCTTCCTTATATTCCAAATCGATGGTTTGCTCCTTGGATTTACATACTCTATTATTGAAGCTGTGTAAATTATTCTTTATTTCAGTTAATGCCTCCTTCAATTCTAACTGTGTATCCATGATTTCTATCTGGTCCTTTTTTATGCTCTTGAGTCCCTCCCTAAGTTCACTGAGGTTCTCACTAAGTTCATTGAGCATCCTTATAAGCAGTATTTTGAACTCAGCATCTTTTAGGTTGCTTGTCTCCATTTCACTTGGTTCTTTTCCTTGGGTTTTGTTTTGTTCTTTCATTTGGGACCTGTGTCTTTGTCTCCTCATTTTGGCTGCCTCCCTGTGTTTGTTTCTGTGTATTACTTAATGAGAGGTATGGGGCTCGCTGAGACCAGATGCTGCTCATTTGAAAGAATTTAGGAAAAACCTCAAGCAGGATCCAAGACCAGCCATCCTATGGTTAAGCAAGTGGCAACACGTTGGGTGGGCTTGAAAGTTGGGTGAGGCTGGGTGGGGCCTCAGGGAGTCAGCAGGGCGGGGCTACCAGTGTGAGCCAGGTTTCTGGAGTCCCAGATATGGCGGCTGTCTGCCGCCCCTGGGAAGGGCTCACCAAAGGAACAAAGGCCTCTTACAGCACGTTTGTCCCTGAGAAAGCCCCCTCTCCAGCCCTCGCTCCAGTGCCAAACAGCTCAGTTCTTCCCTGTATGTCTCTGGCGCCCCTCGAGCTGCCTCCCCTCCAAGCTCAGAGGGAGAGAGTCCGATAAGTCCGTGCGCCGGCCCTTTAGGGAGCTGCCTGGGGCTCCAGCCGCTTCAGCTTCCCTGAGCCTCAGTTCCCGCTGGTTTTTCCAGCCAGAAGTTATGGGGAGTTCTCTTCCTGGCACTGGAACACTGAGCGGGGCACCTGGTGTGGGACGAGGACCCCTCAGTCCTCAGGAAGGACCTTCTCAGCCCCGGGAGCCTCCTGATTTTTATCCGCCACACTTGGGTGTGGGACAAGCCGGTCGCGCCGCCACTCCTATAAGTCTGAATGTGGCTGCTGATTTAATTTCGTAGTTGTAGGACTTCCATTCAGCTTGATTTCAGGTGGTTTCGAATGATGGTTGTTCTGTAGTTTAGTTGTAACTTTGATGTGGTTCTGGGAGGACGCGATACCGCGTTTACCTACGCCGCCATCTTGACCAGAAGTCCTGTGCTTCTAATTCTTTATATTTTCCTCTATTTCTTTTTTTAATGACCTATAGTTTTTTTTTGAATAGGTCTTATATTTCTTTGGTTAAGTTTATTCCTTGGTATCTTAATTTTTTTATCCTGATGGTAAATGGGATTGTTTTTTGTGTGTGTGTGTGTGTGTGAGTTCATCATCGGTGTATAAGAATGCCATCGATTTCTTGTTAATTTTGTATTCTATTACTTTGCCAAATTCATTTATTAAGTGTAGTAGATTTTTGATGGAGTTTTTGGGTTTTTCTATGTAAAGTATCATGTCATCTGCGAATAATGACAGTTTCACTTCCTTCTTTCCCATTTGGATCCCTTTTATTTTTTCTTCCTGTCTGATTGTTGTAGCTAAGGCTTCCAGTACTATGTTAAATAAGATTGGTGAAAGTGGGCATCCTTGTCTTGTTCCTGTTCTTAAGGGAAATGCTTTTAGAATTTGCCCATGGAGTATTATTTTGGGTGTAGGTCTTTCATATATGGCCTTTATTATCAAGATATAATCCCTCTATTTCCACATTGCTGAGCGTTTTTATCAGAAATGGATGCTGGATTTTGTCGAATGCTTTTTCGGCATCTATTGATATGATCATATGATTTTTATCTTTCATTTTGTTTATGTGATGTATCACATTTATTGATTTGCGAATATTGTATCAGCATTGCATACCTGGGGTGAATCTCACTTGGTCATGGTGAATAATATTTATGTTGTATTGCTGGATTTGATTTGCCTGTATTTTGTTCCAGATTTTAGCATCTATATTCATCAGGGATATTGGCCTTTAGTTTTTTTTCTTTGTAGTGCCTATTTCTGGGTTTGGAGTTAAAATTATGCTTAGCTCATCAAACCAGTTTGCAAGTGTTCCTTCTTCTTGAATTTTTTGAAATAGTCTGAGGAGAATGGGTATTAGTTCTTCTTTGAATGTTCGGTACAATTCCCCCGTGAAGCCATCCGGGCCTGGGCTTTTCTTTGCTGCAAGAGTCTTGATTACATCTTCAGTTTCTTTTGTCGTTATTGGTCAGTTCAATTTTTCTATCTTTTCCTGGTTCAGTTTTGGGAGACTATGTGTTTCTAGAAATTTGTCCATTTTGCTTAGATTGTTGAATTTGTTCCCGTATAATTGTTCATAATATTTGTTAACGATCCTTTGTATTTCTGTGGT